GGGACGGGCAACAGCCCTGGTTGGCAGCCGTGGATGTCAAAGATGCCTTCATGAACGTGCCGTCGGGGGCAGACAAGAGATTCACAGTGGCTGCACGGCCCAAGACCCAACCCGAAGAGGGCATGGAGATCATCGTCTTCGACACCCTGGTGTTTGGAGCCGGGAGCTCGCCGACGATATGGGGCTGCTTCGCCGCATGGCTCGGAAGGTCATGTGCAGCCATTGTGCCCGACGCAAGCACACAGATCTACGTGGACGACCCGATCTTCGTTTTGGCAGGTGGGCTAGAACAAGCATCCACCGACCTGACCACGCTGATGCTGTGGTTCGCCATGGCAGGTTTTCCCGTGAAACTGTCGAAGGCGGAGGGAGGCAAAGCCATCAACTGGGTCGGAGCGAGGCTCGAGTTGGACGACGAGGCGAACACCGTCACTGTCACCATACCCACAGACAAGGTGGGCAAGCTGAAAGAAACCACCGACCAGATGCTCAGAAGGCCGGTGATTGGCAAGAAGCAGCTACGCTCTTACGCAGGCTCCCTCTCATTCGTGGCCGGGTTGGTAACACACCTGCGCCCTTTCCTGTCTTCAATTTGGGCGGCCTTGGGTAGTCGCGTACCAGCGGATGACGGAGAGGGGAAACCCCATCCTTCCGGAAAGCTGGTGCACGCCCGAAGGATCCGACCAGCCTTGAAATGGATCCAGGCGCTCATAGGTGGAAAGCCGGCTCCCCTGTCTAGAGTGTTGGAGAGCTGCCAGCCAGAAGTCGTGGCCGAGATCACCAGCCCCTGGGGAATTGGCGGGATTTTGAAGGTGGATGGCAAGGCAACGAAGTATTTCACCAGTGACATCCCCACGGAAGCCCTGAGCAAATTTAAAGCTCAGACGGGATGCTCCAAATTTGACACGTTGTGGGAAGGACTCGCACTGCTAGTAGCCTTCAGGCACTGGTTGCCGGAGCTGAAACACACAGCAGCGGTGAGAGCTCGTTCCGACAATTTAGGCGTGCTGCACATGTTGGCCAAGGGAGGAGCCGCCTCATCCCAACTCAACGTGTTGGCACGTGAATTCGCCCTTGATCAGGCCCTTAGGTCATACCGCATTCACTGGCTCTGCCACCTCCCGGGAGTGACCAATTTAGAGGCAGACGCACTGTCCAGACAGACGGTGCCGGTCGCCCCGAAGTTTCCAGAACACCTGAGGTCCGTCGCTCAAACGCACGTGAGCATTGGGCCCAGCTTCTGGAAGGTAGACTTGTGAGCTGGCACGAAGAGGCCGAAGCGAACTTAGACCTGAGGGAAAATGGGGAGGGGGCGAGTGCGGACTCACCGGGTGGGAGGAGGGGAAGTCTGTCGGAATCGCACGGACACTCACCCCGAGCCTTCGGTGATTCGAATCGGGAAAGATCGATCACAATCGCTTATACGGCGCTGCAGCATGCCGTTCAAGCGGTCGTTGGCATCGCGCCCGGGCGCGCCATTGCCGGTACGCCCTAGGGCCACGCTCTTACATGAGGGCTTTGCCTTAACCCCACCGACCCTATCCATCGTGGAGAGACCGGCCTCAGCGGCATCGCCGTGCACACCCGGCGGCGGACCACGGGGCAGGGGCTCGGGAGAACCCAAGCCATACGGCAGAGGGTCGGCGGAGGCAGCCATAGCCGCGGCGCAAGACCCGAGGCTTGTAGAATGGAGCTAGCCAAAGACATCAGGGCCGAGTCAACCAAAGGGCCTACAGCCTCAAGACAGAAACTGTGGGCATCCTTGGCCACGACCACCGGTTGGTCTGACCCGTTCCACCTGGACTCAACCATGATCTTTACCGTCATGGGGGCCTTGAAAGCAGGAGGGTACAGATCGGCTCAGCTCTATTTGGACACTGCCAAGAACTGTCACATTGCTCTTGGACAGCCGTGGGACTGCCAGCTTCAACAAGCCTACCGGTCAGCCGTGCGCAGTTGCAAGCGAGGCATCGGCAACCCAAAACAGGCCGCTCACCTTCCCATGGAGCAGGTGGCTGAGTTGAAGGGCGAAAGAGCTTTAGTTCCAGGCGGTCCAACACACCCGACAGCTGCAACCTTACTCGCTTCGTGGTGGTTGCTGCGGGAGATCGAAGCATCTCGGGCACGTCGCAAACACGTGACCATCGAGGAAGGCACACTCAAGGCCTCATGGAGACTCCCAAGCTCGAAAACAGACCAAGCAGCACTTGGTGCAACGCGATCACATACGTGCTCGTGTGCGGTACACTCAAGAGAGCTATGCCCATACCATTTGCTGCTGGGTCGGTTGAACGACTTGCCAGAGGATCCTGAACAACTCCTGTTTCCTGCAGAAGACGGCCTGGAATCCACTAAGAAAGGATGGGCCGACACCTTCGAAGCCATAGCTAAACAGCTCCTTTTGCCAATCACACACGCCAACGGGGCACGAGCCTACACAGGCCACAGTGCCCGAGTTTCAGGCGCACGTTTCATGGCGACCCACAACATTGAACTCTGGCGAATCCAACTGTTTGGAAGACGGGGGTCCGATGTATTTCTTCATTACATCCAAGACGCTCCCGTTGCCCAGCTGGACCGACTTGCCTTAGAGTCAACTGCCGCCATGTCAGTCAGAAAGGCTCAAGAGGAGTTAGCTGACCTCCAACAGCGCATTAAGGATTGCAAAGCAACCTTCATGCCACCAGCACTAGACATGTTGGAGGACTGTGACGCGTCGGTACACCTCAGTGTACCGGACGATAATCTGCCCGGGGTAACAATTTTGAACACCGCCAAAGGTGGCAGATATCACGCGACACTCATTTATAAATTGAACATCCACCCCCGTAGGTGGCGCACGCGATGCGGCTGGCCTTTTGGAAAGAACCAAGCCGAATATCGCATCTGTAAAGACATTCCTCCTTCCACAGCCCACCTCCGGTGTAGCAGATGTTTTCCCAGTGCCCGCCCGGCTGTCGCCCCCAAGACAGCTTCGGACAGCGAGTACACCGAAATGTCTAACGATCCCTGCGCGTCAGACGCAAGCGGGTAGGCAAGATTTGGCATGGACGTTAGTCTCGAGTCAGGAGGCCAATGAATTGCATCCCTGGATGCCTGTGGAGTTAAACCCACAGGTAACAGAGTGATGCGACTCGAAGACCAACGTTTGAAAATCGTGCCTCGCTTGTTTAGGTGGGCGGTTGGGGTAATCACGTTAGAGCATTGTC